TTAGAGAAAGTAAACTTTATTTATCCAAGCACTGGTACTGAATGATTTTAAAATGAAGAATGGTTTATTGAATTAATCAGGTGAAACCCAAAGAATTGAAATCTTTCAATATTTTGTTTCTGATGCTTTATTCAGGGATAACAGGGAAGGAAATTGACTTCTCGGGTAAATTGAGATAAACAAATTGTTCGTGATTGCACTGATTATTTGGATATTGAACATTCTTCAATTATTATCTAATTACTTATTCTCAGTCTCAATGGGATGATCTTAGCTACTTGTTAGACACAATTGAGATCAATTTAGATGTACAAATATAGTTTTTATTTTCATGACCGGGAATAATGATGAACAACTTGATATAGATGATGAAGGTTAAGATGATAAAGATTTTGAATGGAATTGGTTTTGTTATGAACTAAGCGCAAAACAAAACTGAATGTAATCTTAAGGGGAGAAAAGGCGAGCAATAAGATGAAGTTATGATGTAAATGGTAAGAATAAGAAAATGATTGAAGATTCATTGAAGGTAATGCAGATTCACAAGTTGTCAGATAAACAGCCTGAATTGGATTCCATTATTATTGCCATTATTATTTTTGGTGAACCAATTTTGTGCTTCACTTCAATTCAATCTGATTCAGTGGAAGAAGTATGTTCATAATCCATTGAGTTATCAAGCTTCACTCTCTTCATTATCATCTTCATTGAAAATTGCATTGTAAATGAAATTATCGAGAGAAAAGTAAATGATTTCATCGAATTGATCAACAGCGAATAACGAACAGTTATTTTATTGAGAAAAGGATATTAATATTAAGAGTGACTATAAAAGAGGCTAAATTAATAAATAATCAGATAATCACTGGAAATCTATGAATAGTTTATCAATTTTAACGGTTTATAATGAATTTTGCTCTACAGTCTTTCAATCCATTATTATAATATAATATTATATTGTTATGTTTATATTCATGTTTTAGCTTGTTTTTCAAGTGTAATTGCCATTAATGTTATAAGTATTTGGTTAACTTGAAGATGAGTTTCTGAATAACAATACTTTCCATGATATTGATTCATGGTGATATGGAATGCTCATGGGCATTCACATCAGAATTAATGGGTTTTGTCATTTTATTCAATTGTTTTAGTTACGACAAAAACATCAGTTCAATGTAAAGAAAGAAAAGTAATTAAAATTTCTTCCAATCAACATCATCATGTCAGGTGACATGTTGTTAAAGGATGTTCTAAAAGCAGCGAGACGAACTTTAAAACTTGTTTTTCAGTCAATATTCATAGAATTCATTTCACTTTAGGATTCATTGTGGATTGAAACATGAGCTTAAGACTGTTATTCCTTATTAATATTAAGGCCCTTCTTGAGCTATTTTAGTTTTTATGTCAGGTTTGTTTCTCTAGTTAGCTGCATAAAATTTTCTGCCATTTAGCTGCTACGTGATTCGTTAGGTGTACGTAAGTCTCATCGTTCATAAAGATATTTTTGTTTTGCAAAATCACAATATAAACGATTTTCACCGTTTTTTTACATAAATTGGCCTGATTTTGCATACACTTTAGAGTATTCACCAGGTTATTCAAAAGTCACGCAAAACTTGTTCCTTTTATAACATTACCCTTGTGCCAAACATTATTAACAATAGCCATAGTGGGTCTTTAGGAGCTAGTCCCACAGACTTAAAATGGTAAAAATTTCGAAAATTGAAATCAAACGCTCATCAAATCAGTGGCGACAAATTCAGTGCTCTCCAGAGAACAATCCTCTTCTATTGTAAATTGATTATTTTCGTACCTCACATCACAGTAAGCTGATTTAGTTATGATACTCTGTTACTTTAGTGCCTATCACTCTAGTTGGTCAAATGAAAATAATCGCGATTCAGAAAAGCTTGGAGGGGTGATAGATTAAGAAGGCTCAAGAAGAAAGAGCAGTTCCTTTTTTCTTCATCATTTTGAGCTTCATCCTATCCGACTTCTTACCCCCGGTTTAACGACATACGAGAGATTCACACAGGCGAATTGAGATCTTCTGGTTTGATTAAAAAGTTGATGAATTTTGTATCGAATTAGCCCTTTTCTCGGTCTTCCACTTAAACTTTATATTTCATAGACCCTGTATTATGTTAAGATATCATTCTGTAAATTGACCTTAGCTTGATTCTTTATTGATTACAATGTTTGACTGTTTGCTGAACTATTTTTTCGTTTTTGATTCGAAATTCGCAAAGACTTTTCGATTCGTTTTTGGACATTGTGGACTGAAAATTTTGGCAGATATTGGAATTTATTGAAGCGAATTTTTCATTCTATTTAAAAACCCCTTTAAAAAATTGTAAACATCTTGTGTTTGAAATTCGAACTGAATTATTCATTTGTCTCTTTACTTTTGAAACTCAGTTTGATTTGAAACAATTTTCAACTTTCAGGGTTAAGTGTTAAATTGATAAATTTTAAAAATGAGTAGATTGGTGAAACATCAAACTGAATTAGATTGGTTTCCATATTGAAAGGCAGTTTTTTGCTTAGATTTTGTTTGTTAATTGTGATTAAGTTTTGAGTTAACTTGCTTCAGAGGAATGACAAAACTATTCATTGAAATTATTTGTTTTAAACAAATAAACTCAATTTTCGGTGATTTTTTCAGAGAAACAATTGAACCAGAAAAAACAAACTTAACAACTCCATGCAATTTAAATCACAATAAGAGTTAAACGCAAGTTGAATTGAGCAATTTAAACCCTTAATTTACAACGTAAATAATGGTTAAAGCAAAGACTAAATAAGCTAGGAATAACAATTACAATGAACATTGTTTCAAATGACTTTTTTGCTCATCAAAATAAATTTATCCAGATTACCTGGACACAAGAATCAGTCTGATAAAAGAGCAACATTTGCCCACCAATTGACTGAATTATAACTTTTCAACTCTCATTATTGAACAATAAACTGATTATTCAGTGCTTTGCTGAATCATCAAAGTCAGAAATGATTTTTATCCTCTTATTTGATTATTTTTAAGTCCAGTCTTACATAATGTTAACTCAAATTGTTTTTTAATGGCCTTTTGATTATATTTCAATGATTACATTCAGCTTATCACGGAAAATGAAACAACAAATGTAAACATATGTAGGTACACATGATTAAATTTAAGTTCAAACAAACATCTTGGGATGCTATGGAAACATAATGTTTCAGACTGATCATTAGCCGATGTAAAGCCCATATTATAACATACAGAGGAACCTTCATATTTACAATCATGATCCATCTGAATCCACTGCATCAATGTTGATTGTAATTAGCAATTTGTTGACCTTTTGGTTAACAATTGATAAGAGATTAATTTGGCTTAATTGAGGAAATTGATTTTTAGATATTTTTACAATTTAAATTCAAAAAGAGCATTTACATAATAGTTTGCATCCAAAATAGGGAATCGTGAAAGTCAGAGTAAATGTATTGAAATTGATTTATTTGTTGTCAACTAAATCTGTACTCGTTATGAGATGCAAACTAAGGCAGTTAGAAGCACACAAGTATTACAGTTGGTTTTCAATTGAATTCATTAGGAAATTGAACTAATTCTAACCATCATTCCCCTCTTTAGTCACCATTTAATACCTAAAATAAGGTACATTTAGACACTAAAACACTTTAAATGTTAGCAGCCTAACAAGATTGTTAACTTTCAAGATTAGAAGATTAAAAGAAACAGTTTAATATGGTTGAGTGAATCGACAAGATCTGTTTAAACTGATAAACAGGTAAATTAAAAAAGAAAAGATAAAATGTTGAGAAAGAGTGACCAAAAGTCAGGTACAATGAAGAAAGGGTAACCAGTGATTAAGCAACTGCAACCAGCCTTTTTGGGTAGACATATTTTGACCAGCTTTTCTCACCCAAAAATTTTTCAATATATATCGACAGTTTCCTTTCAGAATGATCATTCAATCAACAGTCATCAACAAAAGAAAAATACAAACCTTTTACCTTTGTGATAAAACAAAAGTGTTTTGTTTCTAAATTGAACCCTTTACTAACGAAGTAGAAAAAAACTCCAAAAAATGTCTTCTAAATTAATCTGTTTCACTATTCTTTTCTCCTTGATTTCACTTGTTATTGCTGGCAAATCAGGACACGGTAACATCATAATCGATGGATGTCATAGTAAAACAATCCTCACTGGTGGCGGTGGAAAAGGTAAAGGCGAAGGAAACATCATTTTAAAGGACAATTGTCACCATCAAGGTGATCGTCACGTTACCTACTATTACCCAGTCTGGGGTTGGCATGGTGCTGGTTGGCATGGGGCTGGTTACCCAGGCTACTCTGGTTACTCTGGCTACGGTGGTTTCGGCGGTTTCTAATCAATCATTTGAACACCAATTTACTCAACAACTCAACTGTGCCAATTGACACTTCAATTGTAAACTTGTGCATAAACAATTCAAATGATGATGAAAATCTTTTAATCGTTGAGCCTTTTCGTTAAAGGCCAACTCTTGTACATTAAAAATGAGCAAACCAGTTTTGTCTCAAATCTAAATAAACGAATTACAATAAAATTTGTATTTTACTCTTAATTAACTGCCTGTCTTTTTTTACTGATTATTAATCAGTGATTAATATCGCGAAGAAAAAAACTTTCAATAAAAATATCAATAACAACCTTTGCCACAACATTAATCATAAATAATGTTCACATGATTGAAATTGAATAACAGCAAAATCATGTTTACTATTAATAATTATCATCATTATCATGTTTTTTTTCAAACGGTTCAACAGTTGAAAGAAGAAGAAAATTGCCTCAAAAATGTTCCTCTAATTAACAGCAGGTTAACCACTGTCAATGAATCGATAACAGAATGAATGGTTCATCAGCAGCAAAAAAAAACTTTTATCGTCTTCACCAAGTTAACCCTTAAAGATCATTTGATGGAACAATTTATTACAAGTAATTCTGAACTTACCCATTATCATGGCCAAACATTGTTGCTCTTTTCTGGACCACAATCCATAGCTTTTTACAGATACAGGAGTAAGTGAAGCCCATTACAATGCAAGGTATAACCAGGATTAAGGTTAACATGTAACATTCATAAAGTTTCCAGATAATTGGTTGACTTGGATCCTTGTAACACCAGAAAGCTTTATACCTTTCACCAACCTCAATATGAACCTAATTGAAGTAGATAAACAAAAGCCATTAAAACCAATAAAGGTAATTCAATTTAATTGCATTTCCATTTCATTTTCCATCCTGAGTGTCTTCAACCTGGAAAACTGTAAATTTGCAAATATTTATGGAAAACGAACAAATGATGAAAATTTTTAGCTTCATTCATTATTCAAATTGAGCAAAAACTCGCATTCGCAACTTATTGAAATGAACAGATAAACTAGTTAAATGTTGAGTTTGCCTCGTGAGTTGATTATTAATGACAATTTTCCAGCAAACTTGGCAGAAATGTTTTCTATTAAATTGTAATTTTGCTCAGCTCGAAATGCAGTTGTTAATGAACATTGAGATCGTGTTTCTCGGGGATTTATATCATGAGTTAATGTATTTCATTATGAATCTGTGAATCTGTTGAAACTTCCATTGAATGTAAATATTTTACGAGAATCTTTTCAAACCTTTGTTTTCTGTTTTTCTTGTTTTTTCGCGTTTTCTGTTTTCGTCATTTAATGTTTGATATTTAAGACAATCAATTCAATTGTAAACATTAAATCTATTATTACCTTGCATTGAATTGAAAGTGAACTTTCACTTTTATCCCAATCATGAGATAAAAATATCAAAGTAAGTAAATAATGGATGAAACTCTTTGTTTCTCAATCTAATTTCATGTTTGCAGAATTGAAATATGATTGATTGCATTCACTTTTGTTGCCTGCAAGGTAAGATACAATTTTACCTTTTATTTCTCATATTCATGGATTCAGAGCAAGAATACAGATGGAAAGGTAAACTAATCAAGATAGTGGAAAAAAGAAAAGAAAAGAAAAGTTGAGAATATTTGATATTTTGTTTTATTTGCTTTCCAATCCCAGTTAAGAAGCGAGAAAGAGTTTGATAAATTGTATTTTGCATAATAATTCAATCAATGAAAGTAAAACAAAGCTTTCGAATACTTTTATCTAGTCTTACAATTGATTGTAAGATTGAAAAGCAATTGTCAAAGTTAATAGTTTTAGCAATGAATTCGAGTTTTGCCGAAATGCCAAGTTTTAAGGCAAATTTACTAGCATCAACTCAATAATCTCAAATGCAAAGTCGCGATTCCAAATGACTTATCATTCTCAGTTATAATTTTCTAGATTTTAAATCGCTTGACTCATGTTCGTTCTCATTGTCAGTAAAAAGTCAGCGCTGATTATTATTCAATAGACTGCAATAGATGCCTTGCAGCAAAAAAAGATCTAAAATTAAGTTTATTCAAAGAGATATTTGAGCAATATAGAGAAACTGATCTCTAAACGATCTGATATAAACTCAAACGATCTGCAAAGTTGCAATTTCGATTGAACTGGATTGAACTGGATTCAAATTGGTGTCCTTTTTCTCTTTTTGATCGCACTGCAGATGATATTAACTTTGCTCTTTTACTAATTGATGAGCGTTTTTCCCATTTAGATCTTTATATTCAGATGTAATCGAATGTCTTGAATGATGTTTCTCAATAACGTCTCTGAACGTCAATAAAGTTGACTGAAGGAGAAATTTTTGCCAAATCTAAACTCAAGAATCTGAAAGTGAATTGAATTAAACATGAAACTTGCTTGCAATTCACGTTATGTTTAACGTTTAAGTTTTGATTGCAAATCCCAGTACAAATCCAGTGAAATAATCATCGAAGAAAAGGTTTTTGTTGCTGGAAATGTGCATTGTAGCCTCAAAGTTCACGTTTGATTTGTTCACAGTTGTTTGCATCGAAAGGTGTTTTACTTGTTAAGAATCCCTGTTACGAGTATTGCATAAAGGATGAGAAGAAATGATCGACAAGACCAATCTGAAGCCATCAATCTAATGGTTATGGATTTTGCCATTTGAAAGTGATTATAAAGTTATGGTAAACGACTGAAAAGCTTTTATTGACAACTATTAATAATAATCTGACGATATTTGGTTGCACCACAAAACCCATAAGCAAATCGTTGCTGAACGACTAAGTTATCCAAGAATATTTAAACTTGCGTTTAATATAAATCGTGCAAGTTTGTGCAAAACACAGCATAATAGCAAAAAACACTTGGAATTAAATCTTACAAATGATCTTTAGTCTGACAGAAACCATTAAGTCATTTTAAAGCTGAAAACCTTGATTGAAATTGATGGAAACTTTATATTCAAAACAACATGCAATACAATACGAAATGAACGCAAATTCATATGTTGATTAAGTTGTGTAATCTTCAATTGCATCTTTCGAAAGGCAAAGTTTCTCAGCAGAAATGATTAAATCTGAATAATATTTTTAATGATCAAGATAAATTCAAGGAAACCGAATTCAAGCAAATATTCCTTTGAATATAATGATGAAAATAGAACGATTAAATTTGTTTAAAAACGAATTCAACTTTGCTTGAGTGAATAGATAAATATTCAATTACAAATGCAATTCAATTGAAACATTTACTCTGAAATTCATCGAAATCGGTCAACTTTTATTTCCAATTACCTGTTACATTGGATTCTCAAGTTTTTCGCGATGAAAAACACTAAATGGTGAAAACACAAATAGCATCACTAATCTACTTAAACTTGTTACACTTTTATATTGAATTTGCAAATCTGTGGAATGAAATCCCATTTCTCTTCTACTTCTCTTCCATGCTAATAACACAGAATCTCATGATTCTTTTAACATAATAAATCTTGCAGAACAAATCATGAATCTTCTTTCGTTTCAGCATTTCGTTCTCCCTTTTGTTGTAACTTTGCTTTGCTTCAATTGTGTTCACATTTACCTCTTTAAATACATATATTTATTTAATTCTGCAATTGAAAACCTTTTAAATCTCTTGAATCTTTACATTGAAGATTATTTATGCTGAAGATTATGTCGTAAAGTGAACGAAAGGTTGTAATATTGGAAAAAGTTTTTTACTTTTCCAACTAATTTGAATCAAATTGATTTGAAATAAGCTTCAAGTGTCCAAATCGAACTCTCAAAATAGAATTGTTTTTAGCTCTTTTAGGAATCAAAAGATGATTATTTCTCAACGATTTTGACCAACGAAACATAATTTCACTTCTTATTGATAGAAAAGTTTTCAGTGATTTTGAAGGATTAATCTTTGAATTGAAGACGAAAGGTACAAGTTGAGTTCGATTGTGAAACATTTCAACAATCAAACATTCAATACGAATTGACCGTCTTTGCCTTATTTTTAGATGCAATCTTACAAATCGTGAAATCAGACAAACTTGTTCAAATTGTATTTATAATGATTTAAAAGGATTTGCATGTTGTAATATGATCGTTTTATGTTCAATTTCATGACTTTTTACATTAAATGTCTGAAGATTCAACAAGTCTTTGCCTTGAAATGATTGAATTTCAATGGAATTGCTTTGATAGTTTGATATTTCATTTCGCATTTGTAAGAGGAAAAGATATTTCGAAAGAAAATATGGACGAAAGGTTATTAGATTAAAAGTTAAAGACAAAGTTCGAGAATAATTTGTGATTGAAATTGTTTCTAAATGTTGAACTGTCGACCTGAATGAACTTGAAAGGGATTGATGAATGTATTTTAAGCTGGCATTCGACTGCTAATGATTAACTAGAAGTTAATTAAAATTGCAATCACTCTGAATAACAATATTATTAATAGATTGTTTGGAAGGGAAAAACAAGTGTTTGATCAAAGAGAGTAACAAAGCGAATGGAAGTTAATTAAAAATCAAATCAACCACAATTAACGTTTTATTAGAATTAATGATCAAAGAGATCCTTTGAATTTGTTGAAATGTTTTGTTATTAAATAAGTATAAGTATTGAATTAGAAATTGATCGTTACTTCATGCAAAAGAATAAGAAGTTTGTGTATGGAACTAGATTGGAAGGGAAAAACAAATTCACTGAGTTTTGCAAAGATCGATCTCCATTGAGAAGTAATTAGATATTTGCAATTATGCAGATTTGCTCGAAGGGAACACAAATTAATAAAACAAAATATTAATTGCAATTTGATCATCAACTGCCTCTGGTAATAATTGCTTCTATTGTTGCCGTAATTTATGACAATATTTCGTGGAAACATCTTTTAATTGATCAAACTAAAGGCTATTTTAATACACATATTGCACTTTGATGAATACTTATTTCCATTCTTTGCAAAAAGTGTTCTTCGCTTTCCAAGTGTGCTTCGTTTAGAAAGTTCGTTCACAACTCGAGTCAAAAGAAAACGATTAACTAACAATCTTTCGTTGATTATTGTGTCTTTAAATGCACATTCTCGCTTTCTAAGCGATTGATGAGTCTTATTACTCTGGATATGGCCACTATGAATCTTGCTCAGAGTTTTTCGAGCGTTACTCATCATTGGCATTACGTGAAATATCAGACCATCAAAATGAGTTCCATTGCTCGAAACTATTCGAAATTTAATGCAATAAAACTTTCGTCTCAAACTTTAAAAACAAATCCCATTTATTTTCCAATCAATCAATATTAAACTGCAAATATCATGGCTAAATATCAATCAATTGCAATCTCGAGACTCGAAGTAATCATTTCATTGAAAGTTGGCAAAAGCAATGAAAAATGTCAAACTTTTCTGTTTAGTTGTCAGATGAAACCGTGAGTTAAGCACATCTTTAGAGGACTAAATGGATGGTCACATTTTTAATGGCCAAATGATACTAATAGCCACTGAGATGATCCTGATTGACAAGTGAAACTCACCTCATTAAGCCTATCAATAAAGACAATTGTAACTGATCGAATGAACAACCTCGAGCATTCCGCTATTAATATAA